GGTTTGGGAAGTAAGGTTTCTGATAATTTTTCAAACTTAGGATTCCTCCTGGTGGCTCTTTTAATAATTCGGGGTTTAGGGGTTTTGGCTTATTGTTTAGGGCTCTAAGGTTAAAGCGTTTAGGGTTTGGGGTTTCTGGTGGCTCTTTAGGGCTTCGGGGTTATAAGGTCTAGGGGTTTAGGGGTTTAGGGGTAAGGGCTTGAGGTTTCGGAGTTGAGGGTTTCCGGTGTTTGTTTTTTTCAAATTTCGGTTTTACGGTTCATGGTGCCTTGTGGTTTTCTTTACAGTTCCGGGTTTAAGGTTCAGGGGTTTAGGGTTTACAGGTTTAGGGGTTTAGGGTTTAGGGGTTTAGGGTTTAGAGTTTAGGGTTTAGCCAACCCGTTTCTATCACGGGCGAGCCTCAAGAATGAAACGAACTTGTTTTTGGGGGGAAGCTATGGTCCAAAAACCTTATCTTGAGGAACCATACAAAAGACTATGAATAAACCCCAAACCCTAAGCCTAAACTCTAAACCTAAACCCGGAACCTCAAGCCCTGGGTCGTATTGAGCCTGCACTCTAGTCTCCAATTGGTTGCTTCGAGACCGTCCCTCAGCCTCAAGCCGAATTCCAGCCGAATCCTAAACCCTTCGCCCTAAACCCTGAACCCCAAACCCCTAAACCCCTAAACCCCTAAACCCCTAAACCCTAAACCCTAAACCCCGACAGGGGTTTTAAACCCTAATCCCCTAAACACCTAAACACCTAAACCCCTAAACCCCTAAACCCCTAAAATCTAAACCCTGTGCCTCGTCCAACTTTTTCTTGGCATCTTGAAGCTCAGTCTGCCTGCAACTTGGGGCTGAGAGGGTTTAGGTTTCAGGTTTTGGGTTTAGGGTTTAAGGTTTAGGGTTTAGGGTTTAGGGTTTAGGGATGTTGAAAAAAAGGCTGCCAGTGTGCAGTCTCATGTCCCCAGCCCCAAATCCAAAAAAAAACACAATCTAGAATGGACCCCTGCAGCTTTAATAAAGAAGCAAGCCACAACACCGAAAAAGTCCAGAGATGTTCTGATGCACACTAGCCCCGCGATGCTTAACCCCAATGCCATCGTCTAGAGCGCGCACTGCACCCGAAACCCAACACCCCGAACCGCAAAACCCAAACCCCTACACCCCGAACCCCAAAGCCTAATCCCTAAACCCCTAAAACCCTAAACCCTAATAGATCCCTTTAAAGGGAACCCTTATAGATCCCTTTAAAGGGGACCCTAAGGCCTGGCCCTAAACCCTAAAAACCCTCAGTTCCAGATCCTAGGTCCTAGACCCGAAACCCTGTAAGACCTAAACCCCAAAGCCCCTACCACCCAAAACCCGAAAGCATCCCAAACCCTAGAATAACCCCTAATCCCCCAAGCTTCAACTCGAAAACCCTACATGCCGATCCCAAAGCCCTAAAGCCCTAAAGCCCTAAAACACTGAACCCCCAAGCCATGTGGGAGCTCTCTAAGTCGGGGCCCCTTCTTAGGTCCCCAATAAAGTACGGCAGCCTTGTAGAAAAAGGCCCCCCCAAGGGACCCTAGTTTAGAAAACTACCCGTATAAACCCTAAAACCCTAAAACCCTAAACCCTAAACCCCTAAACCCCTAAACCCCTGAACCCTCTTCTATAAGGCTCCTATAACGGCAACTACCCACCTGAAAATGTCCTAGAACAAGGTAGCAACGGGCAAAACGCTTTGGGCTTAGAGCTTTTAGGGTTGAGAGTTTAGGGTTGAGGGTTTAGGGTTTAGCGCGTTGGGCTTAGAGCTTTTAGGGTTGAGGGTTTAGGGCTTAGAGCTTTCAGGGTTTAGGGTTTACGACTTCGGGTTCGGGGTTTAGGGTCTTGAATGCAGAGTATGGCAAAGCAGCGAAGCCAACACGGATCCAGCGGACCTTCACATGTTGTAAGGCTTCTGCATTCTCAGGTTTGCCTATGTGTTTGTGTTGTGCGGGGGGTAGCTAGTACATGACCCCCTTCAGCATAGCGGTAAAACTCCCACTCAAAACGATTGGTTAAACCCACAACTAAGCTTTAGGTAAAGCCTAAGCCCTAGAGGCTTGGGTTTAGAGTTTAGGGTACTTAGGGCTTAGGGTTTAGGGTTTAGGGCTTTCGACTTTTAGGGTTTAGGGCTTTTGGGGGTTTGAGACATAGCAGCATTGGTGAGTAGAAGTGGGTTGCTGGGTGTTCGGGATGTACAGCCCGAAGGTTTGAGAGTCTACGGCATCGAATGCAGGGGCCCCTTCCACCTCTTCATCTGCGACCCAAGGACAAACCCACGGCAGCTGCGTGCTTCGCGCTTGAAAGAGTCGATTCTTGGCTTAGAAACCCAGACGCCGCTCGTGTCCGGGAGCCGCATGCTGCCCCACACCCACTCAACCCTCCCAGTCCTGCATCACAGGCTCCAGCATCGAAAGCGTCGCCGACGGCAATGTGCCCTCAGATTCGCGCGTGCTTTACCACGATTATGAGCCAGCTAGTTGTTGTTGGCAACAGCTTCAATGGAACACCGCAGACAAGATTTCAATGACTCACACAATCTGTGCTGTCGGCGAATCGAAGAAGTGGAACAGCCTGCCTTAACAGTGCCATGATCATTGCCATTTTGGTGGCTTATGTTGCGGCTTATGTCGCCTTCATGTTTTTGTTACTCGACATTTTCGCTTTAAGGCGTTACTGGCCAAGCCTGTCAAACGAGCGCATGGGGTATGCGGTATCCACGGTTTCAACAGTCCTGAATAATGATTCTCTCTCGGAAAAAGGGCTGAAGGCTTCTATGAGGAGCCCCACCGGAAAGCTTGCCGTGATCTTGCCGAGAGTCCTGCTCGTCGAAACATGGCTCCTTTGGCGGGTTTGCAAGCGGGATGGAGCAGGAGTTACTCCACCGCCGCCTGGGCGGCGGCTGGCAGTGGGGACAACACGCACTGCGGGTTTTACAGATAACGCCGTCTCCGGCCTTTCGGTATCGAACAGTTCAAGCAATCGAGTGCTTCTGCTTCTTCCACGTTCATCCTGTAGCTAGGGACCTCTACAACTACAGATAAACTTTATCAGTATCACCCCTACAACAAGATGCCCCGTGCCGACTATTTTCCTGGCACCCCTTGCAGTTCCCAACTGCTTCAGGTTGTTATATCGGAAAGCCGCTCACGCACTTGCCCTCATTAAATTTTTGCGAGTTTCTGCCCTTTCATCTGGTTCTCCAAGCATACCATAAAGGAGTCAAGGCTGTTCTAAGACATAAAGCAGGCGCCCACGATCTGAAGCTTCGCAAAAAACAAGCGAGAGGCCCTTCTTCCGGCACTGGGTCCAGCGGACAACCCGAAAATCTCAGTCTCTTCCTGCTATTCGGCCCGAGACACATCACTCGCATCCAGTATCTCGGGGTTCCCCTCCAAGTACATATTCCACCTTCCAGGCTTTTGCAGACCCGGGCTGGGTAGGAGCAATCAATACCAAGGTATCACAGACCGACTGCATGTCGGTTTCCTGGATCTGCAGCTGTGTGCCAAAGGTTCACAACAGCGTTTCGGCCCCTCCGTGCCTGAAAAGGATATCCTGGCGGATTTGGATGCAGCGGGCTTCGTTGCGGGCAAGAAGACATGCACGATCATAGTTGAGAGAAGACTGACCGAATCCCTGGATAGCCCTTGCAGGACGAGTCTTCTCTTCTATGACTATAAGACGGAATAACTACCCAGCACAAGCCTGGTGCGACCCTCTTCCGGCTGACAGCAACAATCCCTTCACCACTCCATGACTGAATGGCATGCCTTCCGCAAACACAGGTCAAAGCCTCGCACCAAAAAGTGTCGCAACTCTCAGGGTGGCCCCATCCGAAAATTGCAGCTCCTCGTTGTCCAAGCTGTCGAAATAGCTGGTGATCAGCTCTTCTCCCGGGGCGACAAAGCGCGAGGCGGTGAGCCTCAGGATATTCGACTCCTCCTCCTCTCGCCCTGCTCTCCTTCCTACAACAATGGAGGACCCTTTGGAAATTTGCATGGCATGAAAGTGTACCTTTTTTGCAGTGAGATGGAAAGGACAATCTGCCGGCACTCAGCTTGGTGATGCTATCAGGACCATCTAAAGTCCAGGGGTCTAGACATCGTCCTTTCGTGGAGGTCCATTGTTCGAGTTCCCGATGTTAAGGTCTCCTGGTCTCCTATATCTGAAGCTATGGCCTGAAACCAACCACCTTTGCAGCCACATCGCTCCCTGGATCCCCTGCGCTTGAGAATGCTAGAGAGCAACAAAAAGTCCAAACCCACAAACCTCTCCGAGCCCTTCAGCCTCAAACCGCTCATAACAACACAAAAAGGCAAGCTCTCACAACCAGGGAAGCTCTCGACGCCGAGCCCTTTAAGTCCCCATGCCCCCCGAAATCCAACTTGGCCTCAACGTCGCCTCCGGCGCCTCCGGGCTTGACATGAGCAGTGACGGGCTGAGGTTCAGCTGCTCCGGCCTTCCGGTGTTCACCTGGGAGGCCCGGGGTTTAGGGTCTAGGGTTTAGGGTTTAGGGGTTTAGGGTTTAGGGGTTTAGACGAAACCAGTGAGGCGCTCCTGGAATGTGGGAAGGCATCGCAGGGCTTCTGCTTGACGTGTTCGGTAAGGGGAAGTCTCAGAAGCTTAGAGTTGCCAAGTCAAGCTTTGTAAATCTGCATGCGGCCTCGAGCCGGAGGGAACCCCTAGAGGGTACTCTGGGTGCTGTTGCCGTGTGGGAGACATGTAGTTGGGTGACTCCTACAAGCACATACGTAGGTGATGTACAGGTTTCCAGCTGGGCTAGATCCATTACGCTGCCTGCGTGCTGTGCGTCATCACAGAGGTATGATAACAGGGTAACTGCCTGCGTGCTGTGCGTCATCGCAGAGGTATGATAACAGGGTAACTGACACTGCTTTGTCCGACAGGAGACACTTTGAATTGAACTCCGCGTGCCAGTGCTTCCAGGATCTGCCATGAACTCTTCCAACTCTGCCGAGCTGCCATGTCTGCAGCTGGGGCCAGAAACTCGACGTCGGCAGGCTTGGCATTGAAGTGGCCTCATGCTGAGGTGGGACACATTCTGGGCCGAGACAGTCCCCGTCACTACGCTCTCGTGTCAGAAGAGCGAGAAAAGGATCAGGATCAGCCTGCTCTGCGCTACGAAGCGATCACTGCAGTTCCCCTATCATCGGGCAAGCAACGGCTCCCGTGGATGCGAAGCAGGCCCTCCACATCCTTATGTGCCAGATTCAGTGTAAGCATCCCAAAGCCTTCTAAACTCGGAAGCAGTGTTATGAAGCAGCCAGCATTGCGTACTGCAACGCTGTCGATCAACATCAAGGCTCGCTGCTGAAACTGCTCATCCCTCGGCATCTCGACATGCATCTGCAACAACTCTATGGACTGAAGATTCAAGATTCGAGCCCAAAGGTCTGAACTCCCGTCGTCCAGGGCCAGGGCACTTTCCACTCCACCTCTACGCCATCGAGCAGGCCGCGCAAGATGTGGAAGCAGCTCTCCTTGGAATAGCTGACTGATGCGGCATCATCTTCTGTGCCGGGCAATCCGGACTGGCCTGCGGGGACTAGTCTGCAAGCGACTCGTGCTGCTTGGGCCCTTCATCGGGCATGACTTTGACCCATCAGCTGCTTGCGTGCCGGGTGCCAACTCCTGGTACTGATCCTTCTGTATCCGCCGCCAGAAATTGACGACCTAGCTGGGGAAGGAGGCCACAGCCCCTGCAAACGATTCCCTCTGCCCCCCCCCCTTCCAAAGAATGCAACTTCGCCACGGGCAGCATGGCAAAGTCCTCCAGGATAGATTCACCTTCACGGGCGGAGTGGGACCAGCTCCAGCTAAGTCATCGGAAGCCTGAACCCCATGATCTTCCAGCCCCCGGGATCAACACGTGATGGCAAGGTAGACCGAGGCCTGCAAAGAAGAGATCGCTCTCCTCTTGTTCCGCACGCGACGGCAGAAGATCGAAGTACGCGACGAAGTCTGACTCGCGACCTGCACTGACAGGAGCTCTGTCTGAAATTTCTGAATTATGCTGAGTACATATGTTGTGTATAACGGTCTGAGGCTGCTCCGAAGCAGATATGCTGCATTTGGCATCTGCCCAAGATTTTGCTGCTATCCGAGTACTGTGTGTGCCCCAGTCTTTTCCATGGTTTCGGTCCATCAGCAATGGCCACATAAGAAGCCCTAGCCAATAGTATTAGGTCCGATCCTGAAAAAAAACATCGGAACCCTTCCTGTGACTGTGCCGCAGTGCCTTTCGACCTCTCCACCGCAAGTAGAGTCATCGCCTGGCACAATTCACGGGACTCTGACGCTGAGTTCGTGCCACCTGAAAATGCCACGCATGCTGGCGTTGCCAAGAACTTGTTTCAGATTTTTTAAGGCCTCAAAAACCCAGCCTCAAAGTTTCTAGAGCCTGCGCCCTGCGTGTAAAGACGCCTTCAGCTGACGCAAAGAGCGCTGGAGGCCGCGAGTGAGGGTGCCTCTGCTGTTCTTGGAAACAGCCCGGAAAAATTCGGCAGAACAGCTGGACTCTGGCAAAACATGCTTAAGAGGAACAACTTCTGGCTTGTCGTGCTTGTTCTGCCTGATGTCTGCCGCTGAGGGGCAGTTTGGCATCGCCCCAGCAAAAGCTGAGTACTTCGCGACAAGCACAGCTACAGTGATCAGGGGTCTTTAAGACGAGTGACATGCATCAACATGCCTAAAATTAAGTTCTACCGGGCATCACCGAGTCTATGGAACAAGTGTGACCGGCTTGGCTGTCTCTTGCTTCATATGGTCGGAACTTAATCAGAACTGACAGTCCAAATGCCCAAACCCGGGGTCCTCTGGCATCGTGGAAAGAAGCTTCCTGATCCAGAGCAGGCTTGTAATTAGTTGTTGAACAGCATCGCAGCAAAAAAAAAAAAAGAAGGCCAGAACAAGCAATCTTCTAAAACTATAGCAAGGAGTCAGGTTCAAGAGCGTCTCGGGAGGCAGCTCCATCACGATCGTATCCTCCGGGATAGGTGCACCTAAGGTCTCGGTCGGCGCAGGAAACCACTGGCTGGTCTGACAAAGCGCGGGTAACATGAAGGAAGGTTCCATAGGAAGTGCTAGTACAGGGGGTGGGAGCCATGAGACGGGATATCATGCTACTGCTGCTTTACTTCCGTGATCTACCCAGAATGCGTCCCTCGGTGATAATTACACTGCGCTGCCCAAAGTCCTGCGAGTTAAATCTCGAAGTTGCACAAGAAGATGACTGGGGCCCTGGCTTGTGGCAAGTCCGGTCATGCGGATGCCACCGTGATGTACATCCGTCAGCTCGAGGTTGGTATGAACATAGCCACCTGGCACAACAGCGATTCTCTCACCACCGGAATCTCCTAGCACATGATCAGAATCCCTAAACCCTACCCTATAAATCCCAAATAAACCCTCAGATCATAAGCCCTGGCATACTCCCCGAAGTCCCCAACAGGCTCTTCGGGCCTCGGGAATGAATCCAGGCCACCAGAGCCTCCCACTTCTCTTGCCTCTCTGTAGAACTCCTTGGCTTCAAGTTTCGGACTTCGAGGCCCACCAAGCAACCCTGTGCGTGGTGCGATGTTTCCATTTCCGGGAATGGTACATCTATAGATCTTACTTTCAGACACTGCGTGGTGTGGACAGCATCTGCCTCGCACTTCTCCAAGCACAAAGAGCCAAGTATCAATCTTCTGCACCAATTTCCGCTGAGCGTCGAAGTGTTGCACAGCTCGGAGCTGATTTCGACAGTTTCCGTCTGCGCTGAGGCACCTCCAGAACCAGCACTTCAGTGGAGCGCGATCATTATGCGAAGGCCTACTCGCCTACTTTGGCGAGCCGAATCTACGTAAGTCTCTCAATTACGAAGTTCGTTGTGTCCAGCTGCCGTCGGGTCAGGAAGTGCCTCTTGCGACAATTCGCATGTTGACCGCGCCCGTTTGAACGGCACGTCTACCATCACATCAAAAGTCTCTCCCCACGGACAATCCAAGCGATGTCCGTGCGTGGTTCCGCAGCGGCCGGGATTTCTTATCTTGAAGACGGAGACGGATAGCACATCCCATTTTTAGCAATTTCGCTCATGCTGTGGTTTGTTCGCAACCACCATCACCTCACCCCGTCCCAAGCCCATGACCCCTGTACCCCGAAGATGCCTCGCCATGCTGTCAGCAGCAAGAGGGGAGCCAACCGCCAGCAAGGCCGCATGAGGACATGAGCTGGTCCCGACTCAAGGCCAAGGCTACACCGTACTGCAGTACGGGCATGCATGGGGAATCATGCAGCAGGACAGCCAGATCTCTTCTCTACCTGACATAGACTTTGAAGCTCCCAGTCTTCTTCTTGTTCAAGAAGGTTCGGACTTGATGCGCGGGCGGTTGTCTGTCACAAGAGCCCAACGTCGTAGCGGTTACGATGATCGGGGTGTCTGGGTGAATGGTGCACCCATGAGATAACTCGAGCTACTGCTACCGAAGGTTGAACCAAAGAACTCATTGCTTGAGCCTGAAAGCCGAAAGGCCTTCGGCACCAACTCGCATCTGAACGCTCACCCTTGAGAGTTCTCATCTGGCACGATGTCGTGCCACAGCCGATGAAATGTCTCTTTCCCAAGCTGACCCGGCAGCTGCAGAGGCAGTGTCTCCTTGATTCCCTTATGCCGAAAAGCGGAAATTTCCCCAAAAGCTTCCATGCCTGAGTAGCCCAGGGCTTTCATTGCCGCGGAGAGCTCCGACTGACCAGCCGAGGTGGTTTCGTGTTCGGAAGTCTCCGGTGGTGTTATATCAAGCAGCACGTAAGTCACACTCCACATGCTCATTTGCACAAGCTTCGTGCTACATAACTCGGAAATGGCTTTAATAACACCGGGCACAAGGGGCTTGGACTCGAAGTCAAGCTTACAACTGCACTTGTCAACGGCATCCCGGTCCAACGGCGGAAACCCGACCCCAAATGACCCTGAGGCATATCCCCCTCGAGAGACCAGCCTTTGGCATGGCCTGAATCCTCGGTTTACGTTTGACAACAGACCCAAAATCGAATCCGTGTGTCGGTGGCAGAAAGTAAGTGTCGTCCATTGTTGACATATTCAAAGGAAGTCGCTGCACTCCCTTTCATGCTGTCACTCGGTGGGCAGACTGCTCTGGGCCGCTGGCGACTCTTCTTCAAACTCCTTGTACACCTTGTAAATCCTGGTGCTTTAAGAGTGGAGCTTAAACTTGATCTGAGCAAGTTTCTTGTCCTACGTGTGCCAACAAAGCCGCTCGTCTCCGAAACTGTATACGCGGCACAGCCCCCTCGCTGCCAGCTGAGGTGCGTGTTCACTTCGTCCTCCCGGTGGATGCGCCTCAGGGGCTCTCTGAAGCAGATGAAACTGATGAGGCGGCATCCCTCCCTCATTGGAAGTCTTGAGGCTTAGGGTTCAGGGGTTTAGGGTTTTGAAGGACCTGGGATCTTTGATATTCTTGACCAGGCCTTTTCTTTCATGGAAGGAACCGATACAACTGCCCGGAAATCAAGCAAAGTCGAGGCCCAGGCATGAGCCGCAAGAACTCCTGGAACTCTAAGGCACCGGATCCATTGAAGTCCACCTGCAACTTGGCCCAAGTCAGGGGTGAACACTTCTAAGAGCTGCGCAAGCTGCCGGTCAACCTAGGATTGAAGTTTGAGGCCGAAGCTGTTGCAAAATCGCTGCCCCGTAGTATACCAAAAGCCCTTCCCCCTCCTCCCCGACAAGGACCCCACATATTAAAATCTGATGTGTTGAGTCCTTCTGGAACTCTTAAGATTCAGTGGCTCTAGGGGTCGGGCTGCAATCCACAACCCCTGCAATTCTACGTTGTTGTGGCTCCTGCAGTGCTACGAGCTTGTTGCTGTCTGCTGGATGCAATTCCGAGACAGTCCCTGCAGGCTCTGAAAAGCGAAATGCTTGGGAGAGGAGCTCAACTCAACCTTTCTGGAACACGCTTACTTTTGAAATCATAGGTCATAGGTTTTCGGATGTGTGCTAACCCCTCAGCGCCTCGCCCCTGCTGCCCAAGCCCGAAAGCAGACAGAGAGAGAGTGAGAGAGTAAGAGCGGGAAAAAGAAAGCCAAAGCGCCGGTTTTAGGTTTTCACCCCCACCTCGGAGCCCTATCCCTGTTAGCATCACTAGCAAACTAGCTAGTGATATTTTTCCACGAAATCTAATACAGCACCGTTGTCCCGGTGGTTGTGTTGTCGCCTGCTTAAGGTTCAGGCAAAACACGAACTGAAGGAGACAGAGAGCTCTGTGCTGCCTCGCCTAAGGCTCTATGAAGACGTGGAAGACAAGGAAGGGTACAATATTCAAACACAGCTACGGGGTGAACACACACATTGGATTTTCCTGCAGTTGCAATTGCTCCTCCCAGAACCGCAACAGCGCCCGACGAGCAATGTTTGAATATCAGGGGGCTTAATGTTGTGAGGAAGCGCTTCATTGGCAGAGCGAAATGGCATTCGGAAGTGCGAGGGGGAAATCCTGCATTCCTAGTGATCGTACTCCGGCTCGGCAAACTCAAATCCGTACTGCCTTCTTGTCCAGGTGGAGGCTAATTAATCAACACTGGTACCCAGCCTGTCCGCCAAACCCAAGTAAGATCACCCCCCTGCTATGCACGTTGCAGGATAAGCACAACTTTCGCATCGCCCCCCCATCCGCCCCCCCCCCCGCCAACACTTCCGTGAGTCAACTCCTTGCAGAGCTGAATTGTCCGGTGGTGTGGCCAGGTGCCGGGCCAGGTGCAGGGAAGTGTCGGTCGAAAAGAACAGTCGCAATGAGGCACCAGCCGCCATCAGTCATCTTGTCGAGAATGTGCTTCAAGGCCGCGTGCACGTCGGGCTCATGACGCGGACCATAAACGCAGAAGTGTGCTCCTTCAGACCTCCATGCCAAGGTCGCCCCGAACGTCCCGCTGCGTTTCAAGAAGTGCAATCCCCTGGGGCTGAACACCGCCAGCCACAGCTCGTCAAACATTTGTGCTGCCCCAGATGTTGCAGAAGCCGTCTTGATGTTGTTGAAGCAGCACAGCCAACGTCCGCGAGATTCGTTGAATCGGAGCCTGCCGTGCTTCACTTCGACTCGGATATCATCCCTGTGCCAATCGCAACTAAATGCCGGCAGCCCCTTCAAGCAACTGGCCCCTGTCTTCTCACTGAAGCTTCTGCGAAAGCGTGCCCGACGATTCATCATCATGTCGATTTCAAAGGCCAGCGCTTCAATGCGAAAGCCTCGCACAGACGGGCTGGCATGCTGAAGGGGTGTTCCGTCAAAATTACGGTCAAAAAGCTGGCTCTCAAAGGAGCCTTGCGTGTCCGTGCGCACGACGGCACGTAAAGCTTCGGTGATCTCGGGTCCGTTCGCATCAAGGAGCGCTACAAGTCGACATTCGCTGGGTGGAGTAAATAAAAGATCCCTGACGCGGCTCGCAGCTGCATTCCAACATCTTTCGTGCCGCGGACCCACCACGGAAATGCAATAACCCTTGTCGGAACTAAGCTTCCCTTGTCTGTGCACCCGGGTAACCAGATCGTGCTGGAGGACCAGAAGACTGCTCGGAGTGTACAAAGCAAGATACAAGTCGTCAAAACGGTCCCGGTCTAGCTTGATGTTGCGAAACTGTGCCCGCCACCTGAAACCGCAGCGGCACCAGTAGAGCTGTGCACTCTTGCATTCGATTCGTCTGCCACCAACAAGGAAATCATACTCTGCCTGCAGCTGCGTCCGTGGATGTGCGCGGACATTCAATCCGGGCACCGGTCGTGCCACGTCAGCTCCGCCGCACTTGACGAGCACTGACTGCACTACTTCTTGCAGTAGTTTTCCTCTCCTCGCTGGACAGAGTCGGGCAAGGGGATGTCCTCCAAAAGCTGCAGCTGTCTCGCCCGCGTCATCCAGGATGTGGCTGAAAAGAGAAGCTGGTAGCACCAGTCGACGAACTTCTCGCAGTCTTGAAACCACACTCGCACCAGGCTGCGGCTTCCGTGCCAAGCGCCAGCTGCAGTTTCTGTGCCACATGCACACTGTCCACCATCCAAGCTCGTGCTGCTACATCTTTGACTCCAAAATGCTTGTTCGACACAGTGCCTAGCATTCTATGCGAGACCATTGAACATGCCTTGCCGATCCCTGCTGTTACCCTTCGAGGGCTAGTCTGAATGTCAGCGTTTTTTGATGCCTGGCTGATCAGCACTTGGAGCTCGTCCAGCTTCACGATGTGGCCCAAGTGCCTTCCGGGTCAGTCATGGCTTTACACAAGCTGCGCTTTGCCTGTGCGAGAAAGATATTCTAGACTTCGACATCAGGGTCGAAGTCAAGCAGACTTTCTTGCCGATTACCTGGTGGATAAAGGTCCCTGCCGCCTGGTAACAGCCTATGTTGTGTCCAAAGATGCTGGATTGCACCCCTCAGGGCCCACTATAGTCTCTAGCCGGAGGCCTCAACATGTCCGCCAGCTCCAGGACCTCGACCTGCAACTGGCAACAAGCAAATCGAGCCCGGACAGTTCGATGTCGCAGACAAGCGGAGATGAAGAGCATGCCCATGGAATGGGACATTTGCTTTCTTTTCTCGTCAATGTTGCAGTGCTTGAGTGCTGCACACTCCTAGCACAACGATCGAGGAGATACAACATTTTCGAAGGCACAGTAATTTCTCGGCCCTTGCTGAAGCAACTGCTGGGGCGCAGCAGGCACCGAAGGGAGTAAACCTGAAGCCAACCATGGAGTCTTCGAAAGGCCCTTGAGGATGGAATCTGGGCTTGCAAACCACCGCTCAGAATACGCCTTTCTTGTGCAGGTGCCTCTGTTTCTTGCTCCGGTATTGCTCCGCATGGCCTAGACATACCCCCCTCCCTAGTGACGGCCGTGCACCTCTGCATTGCCGTTGTCATCGAATTTGTCGAACACCTCCTTGAATTCCTTGACCTGCGCCTGGACTCATTCGAGACTCGCGGGCTTCCACGAGCTAATTACTGTACGATGTCACGGTCTCACTTCGAATTTCTTGGTCACAAATGCCCCCAAGCAGTGCAGGCTACAACACCGCATTCACAGCACTTAGTGGCCACGCAAGTGCAATGTTTTGGCAAAGCAAAGGCGTAGCCTAGATCGAACATGATCGGACTGAGAAGAATGAAGCAGCACCGAGGCTCCAGCATAACTAAATCCTTCCCTGGTGCGCAGCTTTAGCATGAAATTGACCTCTGTTCCAGGTTCATCGGGTCAGCACATGCAGATAATCACCTCGGTCGCATCATGTCTGCTAGGCAAGCAAAGCCAAGCGATCTCCCACGGACCTTTCTTCCGCATGGCAGTTCGAGCTTCCGTACGGCCGGCAGGATAAAGGCCGTGAGTGGCACAGAAGTCCGGGGTTTACAGACGTCTGCGAAGCTACGTCGCGCAGCGCATGCAGCTAGGTCACCGTCCGATTTTGCATGCGTCGCCTTAGAATTCGACAACTTCAGTCCCTGATTAATGCAGTGTAGGCTTCTTTCTTCTTCGCAGCCCTCAAACAAAGGCTTCAATCCTGATTGAGTACGTATGCAGGAACCCGATCATGTCTGCTGGTATGAGTCAAAACCGACTCACGGCCTTCTTGGGGCGACCTCAGGTGCCCCCAACCTTCGGTGAAACATGCAGGGAGGAAGCCTTCAGCCATGTCTTTCCATGTCTTGGCATTTGGCGAAGACGTTTGCATGATTTTTCGATGCCCTGGCCGAATGATGCCGGCCGTGCTGACATCTGCGATGTTCTGTGAATGTGGCTAGTTTCGGTTCTGCCTCATGATGAGATCGGCTTGAGGGGGGCCATGCCCTGCAGAGAGCTGCTTGGAACCTAGAGTTCCCGTGGAGGGAGGCGGACATGCGCCTGTGGTTCAGCGCGGCTCCTCTCCTGCAAACGCAAGTCCGCAAGTACTTCTTGAGGGAGTCAAAATGAGAGAGGGAGAGTGCTACATTGACCTTCAAGTTCAGCAAGTTTTACACAAGTTGCGCAGACTGCCCTGCAACTCTTTGACAGGCTCTGCCAATTTTCCGAAGGCCCCAACCGTTGTCTTGGAGAGCTCGCTCTCAAAGCAGCCAGACTTCCAAACAATTATGACACAGTGTAGGAGACCCCCACCCTTATGCAAAACCAGTGCCACAAAGATGCAAGAGGTAGGGGGCGATTATGCTCATGTCATGCGCGCTTTCCCAGAGCCTGAGCCCCGCAGAGCGTTTGCCTCGAAGACCCCCCGATGGCAAGCCTCCGTCTCCCGCATCGTCCAACGCGCGGCGTTGGTTGAGCTTCGCCATTGTCCTCAGCTGCAGCTCAGGGTCTACAGCCTCCGAGAATGCTTGCTGTATCTTCCTATTTGCAAAGACCCTGAGCGGACGTTGGCCGAATTTCCATCGAAACTCAGAGTCAGAGCCGGCACTCTCAGAATCCCAACCCAACTGCTCGAAAGAGATCCTTTGGATTGCTTGCTCCGAGGGGCTTGGCGAAGACATCGCCCTGACTTGTCAAGGAGCTATACCTGCCAACATCCAGAGCATCGAGCAGATGGACAACGAGTACCATATTGAATCAACCAATGAGCACGGTCATGATGCAACTCACGCGGTGCGCCGTCAGGGAAACGACAAGAGCAAGCCAGATGATCGCAGCCCTAAACCAATACCAGGAAGCCGCAACTGCAACGCCCCCCCCCCAAAAAAAAAAAAACACATAAATAAATATATAAATAAATAATAACCCTCCTAAGCCCAAACCTCTTGAACCCCGCAAGCCGCCGCATCTCTCGCCAGGGCACTCCAGGGAATCCCACAGGTCCCGATCCTCTACCTTTGGATCACATAGGGCATGGATGTCTTGCTCTCTTAAATCTTAGGGCATCTTAGGGTGTCAATTTTAGGGCATCTTAGGCATCAGGGCACGGGTCTTTTATAGCTTTCTTTCAAAGCTTTGGGCTCCTAGGTCCCAGGGTACAAACATGCTCTGCTTTCTAAACTCGGGATTCGTCTGGGTTCCCCGTGACCCATACCCGCCATACCCATACCCCCCGGCGAACCCAGTGAGCTTCGGTTCTCTGATCCTACGCTGTGAGCGAACTCCCACTCAAAGGATCAGGGGACTCAGGAAGTATGGTGATACATGCCTTCAGTAGGGTTGTACTTGATTACAGATGTAGCTACCCGAACCCATAACCCAACTTACTCATACAGACCACCCCACGGGCCTTGTGGTTGGCGGCCAGGATGCTGTAGACATCCTGGACCGGCTTTAACGTGGACATACTACACTACGCGTAAGCTCTCGATACATTCCTGGAGATCCCGGGCCTTGTCCATGTTGCCGAGACCTCACTCAAGCAATACGGTTCTTGCAGTATGCACAAGCTTCTGGAGTGCAAGAACAAAAAAAACTGTGCAGCTCCGACAAGTCCGCTTGAACCCACGGTCTTGACTCTTCCCAATCCCAAATTCCTGCAAAGCGGCCACCGTACTCGTCCACGTACTGCGGCAGGGTGCAGACCTGTTTGCAAGACAGAGGCCTAGCGCCTTTGCATCCTGAATTCAGACCATGTGGCCAGGATCCCTCATATATCCCATCCTATGCATACCTTCAACATGAAGCCTTGAAACACCCTCCAGCTTTTGATCTCCTTTCTTGCTTGTAGGAACCACGGCAACATCACGCTTTTCCAACACCCAAACCCCCGAATCCAAACAACAGGAAACACCCGACACCCACAACGCAAAGTTGCCATCCCCGGGCCTTCGCTTTGGATTCATGCTCAGAGCGGGCAGGGTCGCGATCGTGGAAAACTGCGACCGACTGGACTGAACCCTCCTGAAATGCAGGGTTCACAATGCTTCATGCGAGGGTGCGAGGTTTGCAGCGGCGTCGCAAAGGATGCCGCGAAAAGAAGTCGAGAGGGCATATCCCTGAATACGAACAGGCTCGGCATTGCACTCTAATCCCGTTCCTGTCAACGCGGTCACGACCGACACAGCCTGTCACAGCCTGTACCTTACGTTGATTAGCGCTTGCCCAGCAAAGACTCTATTAGACATCCTTAAAACGTCCCAACAATGCAAAGCCGATCCGAGCCCTTTTTTGGTGGTACTGGCTGGACAAGAAGGTGCACACATGCCCCGGCCACGTGGGCAAAGTTTGGGGGTCTCTGGTCACGATCCTGCAGATTTCAACCAGCTGCACTTTTCACTTTCTCCCAAAAATCCGACTCAGCCGCTAGGTTTGATGGTTGCCATCTGCCGAGCACTCCATCCAAGGACTTCTTGTGGTTTAGGGGCCGGAATCCATTCCGGAAAATGGAAACCATACCCAAGCCGAGCCGAGAGCTGTATCGTAAATGTTTGCATAGCATGCTGAATCTGCAAGCTTTACTAGGCTCTGCAAAACCTCGTATGCTAGATGGCATGTGCCATCGCGTGAACAATGTTGCAGACGTGCTAGCTACACATATCCTGGTAAGTGAAGGAAGACGCTTGCTAGGAACACCGGGTTTCAGCAAGCCGGCAACCACAATGTTGCCTCACGCCTCCTTTATTGTGCTTCAGGATGAGTCGGTCTCGGCTTGGAGCCTATTAGGGAAGCCTATTGCAATGCTGACCTGCTTCACAGCGAAGCAAGCTCTGCACGGCACAGGGCTGCCTTCTCATAGCGAGCTACGAGGTACTCGTCCGGCGGCTTCTGCTCAACCTGCAAGGTTCAGCAAGGCTCCCTAAACCCTAAACCCTAAACCCTAAACCCTAGGAATACTTGAGGTGCCGGCATGGAAGCGAGGCTCACAGCATGCAAAACTGCAAAACATACGGCGCAGCTTCAGATAGTGAAACATGTCCCCAACAGCCCTCTCGGAACCCAAGAGACTGATCGGGGTCAAGAGTCGCGAGCTTATAATGAGGCGTCAATCCTGCAATAGGAGGGCTCTTCACGATACCGTTGCAAACCTCAACTCCCGAAGTTCCAACCTCAAACCGAAAACATCACAGTACTAGTGCGAAAAGCAATCTTACAATCACAAGAATAGCAATCATCATGCGAATCATTGCGCCTTAGCCTTAGCAATAGAAGAGAAAGAAGGCTAATAGGATGACCTGAGGGTCTTTTTCGAAGTCCGGCTGCAGGATGAGACCAGCAGGGGTGCGGCCACCTCTCTGCCGAACCAACGTGTTCCTTAGAGGGGTGGAGAGTTTTCGAATTTGCAGCTTCGTGCCTACGGTTCTGGCAGTGAACAACTCCTATACAGTCGAGCTAGCAAGAGCTTTAAGCACCAATTTCAGAAGATATCGGATCCCGATAGCCTGCGAGCCCTGTATCCATAAGTCTCTATAAGGAGGCTTTCTCCAAGGCACAGGTCTCGCCGCATCTCCACGCATGCCTTCGCTGCTTTGCGCGCTGGATCATTCCTGAAAGCCGTCTGGATTTCTCCGGGTGTGCTACTCTTGAAATCCTCACTCGACGCCGTCAGCCGTCAGACACTCAAGGAGGCGACACTGAGAAATCTAAAATCCCAGAGTTCTTCGGTACCCACATTTTGTGGTGTAGAATGGTTCAAGATTCACAGGTTCAAAGGGTCGTTTGATTTCATGTCTGGCGGAAAGGAAGGTATAGCCCCCACTTGGAAGACCCATCTGCATCCCATCCGAGGCTCAGATTCACCAAAGGCAACGCGACATCACTCTTCAGCTTCCTCGGATGAGGTTTCCAGGCTCAGGGCGACTTCCGTTTCTGTAGCTGCACAAATATAATCCTGGAATAACCCTCTTGTAGTAGCCTTGGCCTGCTCATCTAGTCCGCTGGTTACACATCTAAGCGCATCTTGAAACCAAGCACACGATGAGTCGGGCCCCGACTTTGACCAAACTGTCAGTTCATCAAAGTTTCCGGGCTTCGCTTGTTGGGGGGCCGCTCTTCGACCAAACCGACTCGCTCTCCGGAACCAGCCACTCCTGTGACAATTTGTTGGGGTAAGGGTGTTTTGACACCTTTCCGTCAACATAAAGGCATCTGTCTATAAACAGGAACGAGAGCTCTGCGAAGCGCTTCCCTTCGTAATGGTGCTTGTTAAGCAGCAGCAACAACATCAGAATGACGTCGAGCTACGGCATCGCCAAAAATACCCCAGCTGCTTGACAAACACCATCCAACATGAAACCACCCTCACCACTACACAACTCAAATTACGACCTCTTTTCAGTCTACTCACTTCATAGCTTGCCATACCTGAAGCCCATCCCGTCCTGTTTCTTGGTGTGCCGCGCTGTGAGCGGTCCCGCGGGGTAGAAGAGCTTCTTCCGCTTGTCTGCCATGAGACCTCGCCAGGTTTCTTGACATTGGGGGGGGGATTGCTTCAACATCCTGTTTGGTGTTCTTGGGGCTCATCTTGCTGTACGCCCTTATGTTCGGCCACAGGAGACAAGACGGTGGGCTTCAGAGTGCAGTGGCCGGCAGATCCTTTCTCGTCCTCACCGGTGAAAGCACAGGGAAACCGAGGCTTCCCACGACGGAACGGATTTTACCAAGGCCGATTCCCAGGCCTCGTTCGAGGCACACGGCGTGGGCAACCCCTGGCAGGCTCGAGAATGAAATGGCCACGGCGAGGCTCCTATCCATGGCCTCAGGCACAAAACGAAAACTGTCAGAAGACTCCCATGCGCCCCGTGATCATGGACAGGGCCTCTGGGGTCCGATGCATGTTGCACAGCCGGAAAGTGCCGAAGTCGACAGTTTGCTTCAACAGCTCCAGTACCCACAGGTTCTGACCGTCCCTGAACCCAGAGCCACCTCCACGGAAATATGAAACCCCCCAGAACCCCCAACACTTACATCCCTCAGCCCGAATCCTAAACACAGAACCCACTAAAACTCTAGCTGAACCCCTGATGCCCGAACTCCAACTTGGAGAGCTCCGGACGAATTCATCGAAATCCAACTTGCCATCCTTCGGTGCGACTTTCTGCGATCTTCGGGTTCAGGGTTTTGGGCTCTTGTCAAAAGTAGGGCTTGGGTATTCGAGAGGCATCCACTCAACCAGATCCGTATAGCGAACCAAAGGCAGCGAGGTCTCGGACGCCTTTGCCTTGCAAACCCGGGTCCTTGCGGCCAACGCCGAAGAGGGTGTCCTCACTTTCGTTCAGAAGCTCCTGTACGGCCGCCTTGGCAACATGCCACGACATCAACAGAAGGTAGGGTTTCACAGAAAATTTTAAAGCCCTTGCGGTGAGAGATATGCCAATGCATAGCCGGCCGAAGAACCGAACGAAGTACGAGGAGAACAGCGTTTGCTGGGCCATTTCTTAGCGTGGACTTCGCTTCTTCACATGCCAAAAGTTGGTGTGGGACATATGAATTTCTCGTCCGACCCACGCTCAACATCAGCTCACAGCGGATGTTGCTAACTCATCCCGAATCCCGGTTCTCTGGAGACTTCTTCGGAGAACGTTCCGCCTTTTTTTGGTGATACTTGAAGTCTACAGCTACACCCGCACTAAGACCCCAAGCTGCTCCAAGGAATCAACATTGATTTAGGTACCGATTTGCCCCCAAAACACCTAAATCCTAAACCCTTAAACCCTAGCCTGGCTGACGGTGAAGCCGAGCTGTCCTTGGAGGCCATGCGGCTTCGACTCTCTCGCAGAGGGCTCGGGGTTTGGGGTTCAAGGCTCGGTTCAAGTAAGCCTGTGGGTGTAAGCCTAACCTGGGACTCTAGTTTCCTACGGTTTCATGGGTTCTACCTACAAACTAAGGGGTCATGGCTGCTAAACTGTAGGTTAGCAGAGTTACAGGGAGGGGTTCAGGTCCGGGCTAGCAACAGACTCCACCATGAGGACGTTTTTTGGTGTTGACCGGGAGCTCCAAGCATCGGGACCCGGAGTGTGCGCGTAATATAGGGGCCTTAATAATTCGAATAGGGGTGTGGGGCCCATTGTACTACATTTATAATAAGGAACCCCCAAAATAATATTGGTAAATATTTGGCCCCTATATTATGTACTGTGTCCTGTGCCACATGGACAACAGCAGCTCCCAATGATATGATCCGTGATCCCTAAACCCTAAACCCTAAACCCAAAGACAAAATGATATGATCCGTGATCCGAAACCTCAAAGCCAGAGCCTGCACCAGTGCAGCAAAGCATCCAACAAGCTTCGCGAGCTCGGCGAACTCAATAACTGGGCGCAGGTTTGGCGAAGTGTATGTACGCAGAGAGGACGGATTGATGCCATGCTTTCAGGACATGGCGGTTCACAAGCCTTGGCTCCTTCTCGCACATAAAATGCTCGGAAGGAACTGTGAAACCTTGTTGCCTGGAGACTGGCTCTGACTCACGCGGCATCGAAGTCCTAAGAAAATCGATGGTGAAAGTGCTAGCAACAGGTTGAAGCTCACACAACAGCGCTTCATGTTGTCCTTGCACCTTCAACTCCGAACACAGAGGCGGAGGCGGCCGCTTCGGTTGGTGTCGAACTTCTCATACTGCTGCTGGAACAACTGGCGAAGCTGATTTTCGCCAAAGGCTGTGTCTGTAATTGCCATACACACATTCGAAAGCGCAGCTCATCTGGTCACACCCTACTGTACCGGAATATGCTCCAAATGTGTCGCAATTCGACAAAGGCACAGCTACCATTCGTCACGCTTCTATTTATCACCCGTCCTTGCAGCTGCCCATCAGGAAGTCAACAAGCTTTTGGAAACCTTTCACACAACCTGTTGTAACACATCCAAAAATCTTCTGGAAGGACCGAAATGGCTCGCAGCATTAACCTCAACCCAAAGCACGGGGCCTTGAACTCTGCGTCACGCCTTCGGCCTCGGCAATGCAGGAGCTCGATATATATATATATATATTTTTTTTTTTGATGCGACGGGCTTGTTGCTATGAGGCCTTCAACCGAGGAGTTGCGAGACTTTGTTCGTAATTGCAGGCGGGGTATTGATGGCTGCGAGTTGCGGGTTGTAGTTTCTGCTGCTGATGCTGATGCGACTGCTGCTACTGCTGGTACTGCTGCTGCTGCTACTGTCGTTGTTGCTGCCACTTGTGCTGATGTGCTTCATTGGCTGAGAGAGGGGGATGTGCCATGATGCAGGGTTTCGACGCTTACACTGCGACTCTCCCAGCGAGGCATGCTCGTCGGGGAATTGCCTGGATTGGCCGCAAGCCCTCTTTGTTTGCAGTTCAAGCTCCAGGTTCTGCCCGAAACCGCAAACCGAAAGCCGCAAAAACAAAATTTGGGATCCCAAAGAAGAACAAAGTTGATGTGAGAGCCCGGCGTGCCCAGAGAAGCACATCACTGAGCGGCATGAGATATTGCCTCGGCACCGCGGCATATCGTAAGGAGGCTTAGCACTACTACAGGGGCCTCAGTTAAATATTAGTATAGGGAATGGGGAATATTCTCTGTTGAGACTGTCGGGGGATACAGTTGCACCGCTTGCTTGCTATGATGTATGCCAATCTGGCAAGCCTTGCCTGCAAGAAGCGCAGGGCTTTTTCGGCTTAGCCCTGCTGTGACACGACTGAACCCTGGTGTCCTGACACTTGAAAATGAGCCCAAGGCGGATCCGGGTGTGCTTCCATGACCTGCCAAACAGCCCCGACATGGATCCGTGACCTCTTTCGCTGCAAACATGCACATGGTCCAAGGTCTGGATACCTGTTCTTCGCAATTCCCGTTCACAACATGTGTCATGATGTTTCTCTGTGTGTGCCCAGCATATTTTACAGTAGTGGATACCCAGAGTGAAAGGCAGCATGCCGATGTTGACCGGCTGACCGTCCGGCCTGCTTGCAAAGCAAGTCTGTGATCTCTCGGCCATGAAGCCCGAAGAACAGCAGCAAGACCTTTGGAACGTCACACACACACACATTAAACTTATATTATAAGCTTCGGAGCTCTCGATGTGCATGGTTTAGACACAAGAAGCAAATGCCTTCCAAACATAAGTCCTGACTAAGTGTTTCTCGAACTAGTATTGGATCTAACAACTCAGTACAGCAAATGGGAAGAACAAGCTGATGTGTAGCGCAAGCGGTCAGGCGCAGCCCAGCACTCGGGACCCTCGGGCCGATATGAAGGCCCCACACCTGAGACCGAAAGCCTCCAACGCTAAACCCGAAGTCCACCCATACAATCCGTCGGGGTCTCTTGCAAAGGGCGACCGGAAGCATAAAGTCGCACTCTTCTGAAGCCCAGAACTCACCCCTCCGAGTCTTTTGGGCTGAAAGTCCCGGGCTTCGGCTTCACCCCGTATACTGCCAAACCTGTCACGCCTCCAACGCTAGCAGTCACTAGCACGTCTTACACCGAAGCTGCAAAGACTGACGCGACTGACACAAGGGCCCAAATGCTTACCAATGCGCCTCCCCAAGGTTGCTTACTCTGAACATATTATGAAGAATTGAACATACTATGCCTATACTATACGGTACTATACCGTGCCAAACCATACCACACCACACCATACCCCATACCCTGTTCGAACGATAAAGACCGCAAAAGTAAACCCTTATAACACCGCTTATGGTAAACCTTGTTGGGCCCCATTGTACCAAAGCTTTCATAGGAAACCTATTCTCATAGAAAGCCTATTCTACTATGGCAACTAGTCGACCCTAAATTCAACCTCTCATGCACTCTGGGGCCACAAACATCCTTCAGCTTGAAGCACGGCAACTCGGTACAATGAGGGGATCAGGTTGAGGGTTGACGATTTCGGGCTTTTATCGCTTAGGCTTCATAGGGTTTTCAGGCTCAAGGTTCAGCGTACAGGATCCGCACAGACTCCGAACGAGTTCGAGGACGTGTTTTATCTTGAATTCCTAAACCCTAAACCCTAAACCGGGGATACCTTCACAAAGTATTCAGACCTGTCGTGCACTTTTCATGCGACGCTGACAAAGTTCGAGGTGCTCGAGGCGCAGAGTTTAGTGGTTGGCCTTCAGCAAAACACAGTACACCGTGGAGCTAGCACAGACTCAATGGAAGGTGTAGGTGCGTGCGGACAATGTGTATATGCATATCTGTGTATGCATGTATGTATGTGTGTATGTATGTATGTATGTATGTATGTATGTATGTATGTATGTATGTATGTATGTATGTATGTATGTATATGCATATGTAAATGTATATGTATATGAATATGCATATGCATATGTATATGTATATGTATGTGTATGTGTATGTGGATGTGGATGTGGATGTGTATGTGTATGTGTATGTGTGTGTGTATGTGTATGTGTACGTGTACGTGTACGTGTACGTGTATGTGTATGCGTATGCGTATGTGTATGTATATATATAT